TTGTAGAGTCAGCCATGCTTCCACTACCACGCGTTTTCGTTTCAATTTCCACAAATACTATTAGCCGACACACAAGTCGCACTATTGGAAATGACGTTATAAATATATTTAGGATATATTCTTCCACAAGATCTCAGCGCGGTTTGGCAAACTTTGCACATTTTTCACATTCCTCGCAGTATTTCATCAGCCCCGAGCATATTTACGTGTAACGTTTTACATAAATATACTTAAAATCACAATATATTATAATAATCACAGTATAAAACAAATATTTGAGTCAATCTAGACAAAAACATTAATTGGTCTATTTAAAAAATATGTTATTAATAGAAAAGTGAGACTTTTTCAGACCTAAAGTGAATGATATTGTATCGAAGTTATACCTGGTTTCGAACACTTTGCAATAGTAGGGGATGTCAGGTACCATTGTTCGTTATATAACCGTATCCAGTGTCTGACTGGACGCTCCGGGTTGCGGACAGACGTCTATTAAATTCTCTACAGCACAGGTTCTTAAAAAACACGTACAGCGTTTCGTGTACCTGACTTAGACCATTTAATGTTATAATGGCGAAAATTTTCTAGAATGATGATTGATTGATGATAATTGTAGTAGCATATTTTTTTTTATGTGAAAAAGTTGCAAACGAGCTGGCGGTTCACCTGATGTTAAGTGATAACCGCCGCCCACAGACATTTGGAACACTGGTGGCAGAGGTGTTGTCACCTTTTAATAATGTGGGCCCCGGCTACCTCACTCACCAGACGAAACGCAGAAGTGTAACACTTCTACTTTACGCCGGTCTTCTGTGAGGTCGTGGTACTAACCCCATTCGTGCAACAGCGAATACTGTTGCGTGGTCCTACCACAGTATAATGTATGCAATATTGTATATGTCAATGACATAACACATTATAGAAGCTAATTTTACGTAGAGTTACATTATATTTTTGCGTCTCTTCTGATGGCTGAGGTATCTGGGGCCCACTTTTTTAAAGGTTCTGCAGTCTCATTCACTAGTATTGTAAATGTTCGTGGCCGGCAGTACTCACTTTACATCAGAAACCGCAACAATGCATCGGTATTTCTTTAAGAATTAATATATTTCTAAGGCCAATAACCCATGTGCCAATGCACTGGTGTTACGAACAACCACGGAAGCAGTGATCAGTAATGATTGATACTCTTGCTCAAATATCATCACATCCTTTATAAATAATACTTTTATATCTGCCATTATTACTTGGGCACTTCTCTAAAAACATTAGCGATGAAGGTAAAGATGTAAGATGAAGGTAATGAGACTGCCAAAGATTTAAATATTTTAATGGTATATTAAATGACACGCTCTCTGTGTATCAAGCCTATACGTAGCTGTGCTAGCGCTATTGTGCTTTATACAGTAAATTTTTACTTACCTTTAGTTTTGCCGTATGTAGAGGAATACCAAACGAAACAAATATTTAATGGGTTATGCCTGTTTTTCATTTTTGAAAGGCTATAAATAGGCTGTAATATCCGCACGTGGACTACAATACAATGATTCTATATTACATATAGAATCATTGTAATATGGCAAATAATAACAAATATATTTAAAGTAGCCGTCCCGACAGACGTTGTCCTGTCTTAACGATGACTATTTAATTCGAATTGGTATAATTAATAATAAAAAGTGTGGTTATTATTCTAATTCTTTGTGATATACAATATTCTCGGTTTTTTTTTCTTTTGCGTATATAAATAGTTTTGTTGGTATTCCGACACGGGAACAGGCGACACATAACTCAACAACACTGGCCATGTGAAAAACATGGAAACAATATCTGAAAGAAGTTAAATTAGAAATAATATTATATGGTTGTTAAGTATTCTTAAATTTTCTAATTTTCCGCGCAATTGAAATCTTGTTTTTAGGAATATTATTTGTTATCTATTATTTCCAATGATTGTTTGATAAAAATGCAGTACAGTAGAATAAACTGAATACCAAAAGTATTAATATTATACATGTAAAATTGTCTTACGCGTGTGATATTAAGGATCCAATAAATTTATTTTTGTTTCACAAACTCCTGGCATGTTTTCAGAGAACGTTTCATTCAATGGCTCTTATTGTTCTCAATTGGGCTTTCACTGTAGTCATGTGTAGCACGATGTAATGTAATAACTCCGCTACGGCGCTACGCCGTAGACGCTCATAGCGTTCTGTTGTGAACGCTTTTTAACAAGACCGGCTTACGTCGGGATTACCTCGCAAAAATTCATACAGTAAGATGAACCACACACTTGTCAGATATTAAAGGTAAAACAAAGATGAAAAAATATAATTGTAAACAACTAAATCATTCTTTTTAGAAAATATTTCAGCATTTTTTTATTTATTTACGTTGGTAAGGCCACACTTTACGGTGGTAGGGCCACGCAGCAATCTCGGCAGGCTCATCCGGGTAAGCAGATGTCCATGGGCGGCGATATTCACTTAACACCAGGTGAACCATCTGCTCGCTTGGCAACTTTTCACATAAAAAAAAATTTTACACAATAATTTTTTTGTAATTATTAAGTGTAATTATTATATACAACTAGCTATAATTTCCGCCTGTAATATGGGAACAGATACACTGCTCGTATCATATTATTGGATGAGTCGTAAATAACACTGTGAAACTTAATATATGTAGATAAACTATTGAAAAAATTATCGCTGTAACAAGCTAACCCGTTACGTACTTAACTAAGCGGTTGATATCACTCACCGTATGAAAATCGCGATGTTTTACCTACTTTTGTTTATATTGCATTTTAGTAATGCTTGGCACTATCCATTGTGCTTCCATTACAACAAACATTCTGAAATATCACTTTTACAATGAATATCTACAAATTTTAAGGTTCATATTAAGTGCAGAGATTAGCACTAAAAAAAAATAAACTATATTAACTACTCTGTTAGGTTAAATGTCGTTATATCTTGAATTTTTATTTAAATAAAACCACATGCAAGCCTTGTAAAAACGTGACAATTTATTCAAATTCCATCGACACACGCGAATTATTCCTTTACACCGAAGCGCATATCAAATAAATCCCACCCAAATTTCATTCTAACTGTCGAAACATGTTCCAGATAAGCCGCGTAAAAGTCAAGTGTACTTCAGATGGATTTTTATTGTTTCGAATTTATTGTTAATAGTATTAACAGCGCCGAATTAAGCAAGCGCGGGGCCCGTAGCAATTGCGTGGTTAATCCGTCACTGAGTAGTAGTAGTATAATAGATGGTATGCTTTAATATTTCATACTATTTCATATACTGCTCCACTGTATGGCGAAAATATTTTATCTACACTTCGCCAAAAACAGTTCAAACGATTAAACAGACATAATCCCATATAATTCCGATACTCGTATTGTACGGAAATTAAACTTAATTAAGAAAAAATGATTTTCTACCTCAGTAGTAATACTAGAGTCGTCCAGTACTCACCGCATGTGTAGGTGTGACTGGTGGTGAGGACATAACGGTCACAGATATAGAACTGGAATTTTTGCACTTCAGAAATCGAACTTGCTGGTACAACTCGAACGCTTTACCAAATGCCCAACTTATCCATGTCGGGAACATTTCTTAGTAAACGGTCAATCGATTTACGATAATTGGCTTATAAAAATGTTAAGAATGTATTAAAATATGATTTCCGTTACAGCCACTAGCGGTAAGTTAAATAAAGATGGAGTCTTGCGAAATAATAATAGAAGACGTATACTCTCTGTACTGTACTTTTGCGAGGCCAGGCTAAAAGAATTTTGGGGAACAATTTTACAAGAGGAATTGAAGTGTATTAAACACGATGAGGCATTATGGGGATCATAAAATCATCAATAAATTTGTTCCATCCCTTTCTAATAAAAATTATAAACATTGTCATTTGCATAACAGTCGCAAACATTATTCAATTCAAATAAGGTCGTATTGGACGTGTGTAACAGCATAAATAGCGTTCTAGTTAGCAACAATTGCTTCTAAGATGGATCCTTGCACTATAATGCCTGCGGAGCAATTTGCCAATCGCTGGCACCCATTGCTGCACGACCCTCTACCAACCTTGATGATTAATGAATCATAGCAATTTGCTGTCAACGCACATCATACACGTATAGGCGTATACGTATTTAAAACAAATACTTTGTAATAACTACCCTAATGTAAAGGACCCTTTATAACGTCGAATGATACGCTGAGGACAAGGATATGTGGAAATGAGTCTTGCTCTGCACTTGCATTTCACCTAGTAGCTAGGAGAATTTTTTATACCTAAATAATTTTGTATACTCATAAAATTTTTAAAAAATGGAAAAAATTGAGAACCTAAAAAGAAAAGAAAAAATCTTGGTAGTACGATTAAAAGTTCTTGTACCGTGACATAATGTTAACATTCTTGCGGTACCTTAAGTAATTGTAAATGTTCAACTAAATAGGATAGAAAAGAAAAACAAGTTGACTTTTGGTATAGCAACTTTTATTACTTTGACTTGTATATACACAAAGTATAATAAAGATTTGTAAACAATCTTAAACAATATTTGTTAAATTATACAAGTTAGTGTTTAACATTAGGTTATTACATGATATACGGTTAAATTTTATTCATTATAAGTATTTAAACTATATCTTATTGGCTTTAATCAATGATTCAAAGCATTTCTCAAGGCTTTTATAACCATAGAAAATTATTACTCAATTGTACCAAATCTCTAAAGAAACCTGCTATATTTCAAACTGCTAGTGTAATAAAACTTCACACAAAGCTTGTTATCGAAGGTATTAGACATATGTAGAACAAGGGTAGGCATATAACACAGGATGGGCACAATCAACTAGGCAATCTACTGGTGTAGAACACACTAGCCTACTCTTGTCTACACCAGATAGGACTTGGTTGGCAGAACGAAGCCGGTGAGAAATTCGTAAGACGTTTGTCTAAAGCTATCTCAGTCGACGGTGACCCTGCTGGGCTTGTAGGAGCCGCCCACCGCTCGGTCAACCGCGCATCTACTGAAAAGACCGGAGGCGTGACTACCAGCGCGCATGGCGGTCACCACGTCGTTAGTGCGGCTGCCCGAACGTGTACCGAGGGTCAGGTTGCACTTGCTGACCTCTAAGCCCGGCCTCTCGCACCCGGTAGACCGTCCAAGAGACTTTGACCTCTTCACAGCGAACCTGTCCTTGGGTATTCTGACGTAGATCGGGTTAATGACCCCGGTAAAGGTCGGGTCGCGGTTTATGTTCAGACGCGACTGCACCCGCTGTAAGTAGTCGAGATGGTGCTCGAGCTCCTGTAGACGCTTCGATGGCTCGTGATCTGTGAGCTCGTTTGTCTGGAATGGCGTTCGGCTGTGTTTGGATCTACAGAGGTATCCGGTTGGCTTTCACAACTGGTTGGTACTGAGATAAAGCCAAAGTACCGTCAAGGTAATCACAAACTAATGACGATTATTTAGAGGAAAAACTGATGGCATGATATTGTATTTATTTAGTATACCCCTGACTTCTATTAATGAATTTCTCTGCCCTAAGGTTTCCTGAAAAAGATGGCTGCTTAGGCGATATGGGGGCCTGTAGTCCCCGGTTGTCTTTTAATAATAAATACTGTAATGTCTTTATGTATCAATAAAGTATATTTTACTTTACTTTTATTGTATTGCTGTTTTAATCGCTATATTTCATTCATTAATAATTAAAAAAATTATCAATTTGTTCAGTAAATCGGTTTGTGACATACCGCAACGACTTTTAAAGATTTTCTTTCAAAATTTTTAAATCAATTCTAAATTCGAATATGGTTACATTTTTTACAGAATTTTTTAAATGCTTTAATTCCATTACTTATGTAAATTATATTTTGTCAAAAACACACGTGTTCTAAGTTTTTGTGTACTTATAAGTAGAGGAGAATAATTTCTGTAGTTGTAACCTATAAAAATATGTTATTACTATAATTGTTTCAAAAAATTTTGTTTTGTTGAAAGCCTAACTCGAGGAGAGTTAAGAAGACAAAAGTAGAGCATTGATTTTTTTATTTTTTATTTTTGTAAGAGGTCGGGTAGTAAGGTCCTACGACCAATGCGACCTAGAAAACATTGTAGTCTTCCTTCGAAACCTTTGCCCCCTTACAGTGGGATAACATTAGCCTGTGTTTTAAAGACATTTTACATACATAAATTTCACGTGGACAAACACCCAGAACCGATCTCTGAAAAATATCTCTGTATCACAAAAATAGTAGTCTCGTGTGGGAATCGAACCCACAGCCCCCGTTACCGAAGCCAAAACCTTGGCGACTGTGAGTAGCAGATGAGGATAAGTGTAGTGTTTCAACAGATGTATAGGTAGTATAAAATGTAGCTGAAAAAGATCTGTAAACTCTAACAGTTGTGGTGGGTTTTGGGATAATCTGAGGGGTTCACCTGTCCGCAAGTGTGGCGTCTGGGCAGCGGCGGAGGCTGCGGTGGGGTGTCACAGTCTTCTCGCTGACGGTACCGCGCTTGATATGTACCGACCTCCTCCGGTACCCTACTTCCGAACGACCTTTGTTTAAGATTTTCGACAAAACAGAAGTATAGACTGTAGAAGCTGTGGAGACTATTGACATTTTCTTATGTGAGGAGGCGGCAGTCGAGCTGCCGGTTACCTTGATGTTGAGTGTGATGATGAGTCATAAATATATTAAACAAATTACTCATAATTAATATATAAATTAAAACTAATAAATGTTACTTATAAAAATAAATAGCTACTCAAAATACCAACTACTTATCCAAGTACTTCATTAAATTACCTAAGTGATACATCTTGCTCTCTCCGAATTTATGATTTGTTTTGCACTATGCCCTATAAACAGGGTCCATAAAGAACTATTCTACTAATAACCCTAACACCTTTTGTTACTTAATGGATGTGCAATAAATAAATAAATAAATGATAACCACCGCCCGTAGACATTTGCAACACGGATCTTTTGATAAAGTGTGCCTCGGCTACCTCACTCGCCAGACGGAACGCAGAAGTGCAACACTTCAACTTCACGCCGGTCTTTTGTGAGCTCGTGGTACTTCATCGGACGTTCCTGCGCTTTATGCAACTGCGAGCACAGGTTATACACAACTTACCCATAGAAACTAGAGAACTCTAGAGGTTATGAAAGTAGTCACCTGACTTGCTGTACCTGATATCCTGTTAGTAACCGTTTTCATTAAGTTCGTTTCTCATAAGCCTGCGGAATACGTAACATTCAACTAAATGCATTCCTCGGATAGCTACAGAATCAACAGAGATATTTGAATTTTAATTGGTTGATTTATTTAAAAAATATATAACGATGGATAAAGTAATGAAGATAATAAATATAAAAAAAATAGTAATAAATATGAAGGTGGAATTTATTATAAATACAGTTATATTAATATATAAGAGTGAGTTAGTTAGGTGTTACTCGAGAGGACTGTTGACTCGATATAATTAACTGTATTACTTCCAGTTATAACTGCAAGACGATACGGCTCAAATATGATGTGGAAAATGATCTCGATATTTGTGTTAAATATAATAGTTAACATGATTGAAAATAAATATCCATGAACGATATTTTAAAGATCGAGATCTGAAAGCGATTTTAGAAAGGAAATTTCTTGTTTCACGCGATAACACATTACAAATGAAATACTAATTAAATTTTAATTCCCGACGTTTTCACCTTTGCGGCGTGCATGATCTGTCCCGCCTGTCCCGTGACCATCATTTATACTACTAAGAAAAACTACTACACGTAAAAATGTTTCCTCGCTAGGCGTTTAGGTACATGATTGCGTGTACTGAAACGAATCATGCACGCCCGTGTGGGTAGTTAAAGCGCCCAGTTGGATTATTAATGCCTTTGCTGTAATCTCGCCGAGCGGACCTTTGCCTGCATTATTAATATGACGCAAACGTGAGTGCGAATGTGTTAAGTGTCAAAATTTAAAGCCCCCTAGCGAGGTAACTGCTTGACGGGGTCTTTATTTTCATTAGATGAATACCAAGCATATATATTACTTATGGTTGCAAAGTAAAGTAAAGTAAAGTAACGTAACAGCCTATACATGTCCCACTGCTGGGGCACAGTCCACCACGCGACCCCACTGCGGATAGGCCTTCTAGTGACTTCACATATCCTCGAAGGTTTACGTCATAAATCAGCACTTAAGTGCTAGCACCGGGGATCGAACTCGGGTGAGCGAATTAATAGCGAGTGCCTGGATACTGAGCTGTCACGGCTGATTGTTAAGTGAAACTATTTTAAAGATCTTTTCGTATTTAATTTGATTTGAAATTGCCAACATTTAGAACACTAGAGCGTTCGTGGTCACGGGACAGTTGTTTAACGTGCTAATTTTGGAGTGGCTGGGCTACCGTCAATTATTTTAACACGGAACTATTTTCGCTGTTGCATGAATGAGCAGGTCCGTTGGGGTCAGTACCACGATCTCACAGAAGACCGGTGTGAAGTGGAAGTGTTGTACTTCTGAGTTTCGACTGGTGAGTTAGGTAGCCAGGCGCACTTTATCATGAAACGTTAAATTAAATCACTTTTTTTTTTAATTAAATCGGCTAATTTAACGGCTTGGCTGTTGCAGTTATTGGCTTCAGCGTGACGAGTCGTGGTTTTGATTTCGGTGCGAGAATATTTGTATGTATGAAAAAAACTGTGAATAACTGATTTTGAGATTTATTGATAAATTACTGGAAACCGTCGTATATTCTTATATACGATATATATGAATGTCTCACTACCATGTCGACATTTCTTAAGGTCTCTACAATGGGGCATTGACGAATGAATTTAGCACAGCTCTAAATAATATAGTGGACACCGTTGGAAGCAAACAAAACAAGAGTGACTCAACAAATACCTCTGAAAAGTCAGCAGAAATTCTCAACTCTAGAACGCTGCAGTTTTTCTGTTCCAATTCAGTGAAATCTAGGACGAATTGTGTAGCGGCCAGTCTTTTTTGTCAGATCTTTTGTCAGTACAGTATTTTGTATACCACATTTACTTTCATGGAAGTGGAATTCATAAAGCTAATTGACAGTTGATTCAAGGTTTAAGATCCTAATATTATTGAAAAAAATTAAAATTGTCAATAATATGGCGAAATTTTCCATAATGTTGCCTTATAAATATATTTATATGCGATGGGAAAGTATAATTTTCTTTTTTGTGCAGATTTTTTGAACATTGCACTAGAAATGTTAATTATTCGAATGGATGCACCTTCGTTGCCTATTATGTATAAAAGCCCCGATATAAATAAATGCAATAAAAGAACTAATCACATGATGTCATATTAGAGAACAATAAGATATAAACGCAATAATTATGTACGGCTCCAAAATTCGAAATTTAGTATGTGCGCAGATTTCGATCTGGCCTAAGTCCAGTGAAAATAAAGGGTGAAAAAAATAACGGTTACAATACTCGTTATCCCATGTTGGTGACCGTTTATGACGTTTTTTTTTCACGCAGCAGCTTCTGGTGTTGCACGGGCAAGCTCGTCCGGGGAAGTGCCACGATTTCACACAAGCCAGTGAAAAGAAAGGGTAAAATATCGGGCGTAAAGTGGGAGTGTTATACATTTGTGTTTCAAAAATCGCCGTCCAGAGATTGTGGTACGCATGGTGACACGGCTAGCGGAATGACTTTGAGACTAATCAATCTTGGTCAAAAGTCATTACTAAATTATATACGTATATCCCTTGATTAAAGAACGTTTTCAATTGTGAACTATCAAGCAAATTTAGTGGGCAGTTTATGCTAAGAAACAATGTATATAAAATACGTTGAGATTTTCGTCTCCGAAGACGGGGGCACGATTCCCGTGGCGGGGAGAACTTTTTCGGCCGTTTTCCTGCAAAGTCTAAAGTTTCTGTGCGACTCACCCTGCGGCCCTCTCGCTGCTTCTAGAGCGCGCGGCTCGAGCGAGCCGGTGCAAGGCGAACAGCGCGCCCTCGCTCGAATCGCCGAGGAACGAGCACAACTCCTGGAGCACCTGCAAACAGCCCTGTCGTCTCTACAACCAGACTATGGGCTTCAAGATAACCTCACATCTACTAAATGGAACTATCGCGTTTATTTAAGTCATACTTCTTTTGGTGAGATTGGAAAAAATATGAGATGGTAAATTTTTTACAACGACCCTCAAAAAGCGACATGACGCTGTGTCCGCCATTGTAAGGCTATTGTGCATAAAGTTTTTGAACAAATAAATTTATATATTTAAGCTGCATTTAGAGAGAATACGACGATTGGGACAACAGTTTCCATTTTGAAGTGATTTAAGTGTGTGCATATTATTAAGTTTCGTGCCTGCATTAGTATATCTGAAGAAGAAGAAACGTTTATTCACGGTCTAAACACAATGAATACATACAAAACTTAAAAATAATAAGGTAAACATAACAAAAAAAAAAACAAACAAAATAATAACAGTAAGTGACGGTCTGTGTAGCAGCATAAGACCGTGAAACGGACGGGACTCGGTAAAAATCGAGATGCAGTAACTAAAATGTGTTCTGATCCCGACACCGGTTTTCAGTCCGGCCGGCAGGCAACTGGGACGGCTAGTTACAAAATATTTTAGGTTAGATAAATATAAATTCGCAACAATTCCCAAGGAAGTTTGACGTCAGGCGAGCCGGTCGTGAAAATAAAGCCAATAACTGAAATAGCAACATGTCTCCGAAAATAAACGACGGACATGTTGTGGCGACTCCACCTAGTGGGAGATAAGGGCAGCATGAAGAAGACACATATTTAAGCGCGGAGCGATAGCGGCGTCTCACCGTGAAGCGGGCGCGTTGCAGCAGCGCCGGCACCAGGTCCCCCAGCGCCGCGTGCAGGGCTCCAGCGGCGCTCCGCCCCGCCAGGAAGTTGGCGGGCGCCGTCTGGCTCAGCAGCCACTCGTCCGCTCCGGACCACGACTCCTCCGCCTCCGATGCGCCGGACTCTTCCACTGCGCAGTATCGGGATGGACCATCATCCTCCGAAGGTTTGTTTCATGTGAAAAGTTGCCAAGCGAGCAGACGGCAAGCAGCTAACGCGCTTACCGTCAACGGCTGCATCGGCACTTACCGTCAGGTGGGATGGCAGTCAAGTGCTGGCAAGTTCAAAATAATAAAGAAAGTCCGTTCACCTGATGTTAAGTGAACACCGCCGCCCATTGATATCTGCGTTGACAACCTTTTGAAAATTGGACTCCGGCTACCTCACTCACCAGACGAAAGGCGAAAGTTTTGTACTTCCACTTTACGCCGGTCTTATGTGAGGTCATGGTACTCACCCGGTCGAACCTGCCCATTCGTGCAACAGCCGAGGCTGCTGCGTGGCCCTACCACCGTTAAAGTTTGATAAAAGAGCCGCTTGATTGTATGCTACTACCCCCTATTGGTTCAGCGCTTCAAAAGTATTTTAGGTAAACTGCTGTACGACCCCACCATGAAAAAGTTGTACTACGAACATGACGTAAATACGCAGTATGTTTCATTACGAATTGTAAAAGTATGAGCCTACACATGTCCCACTGCTGGGCAAAGATATCCTCTGTACAGAGGGTATCAGAACATAGTCCACCACGCAGGCCCACTGGGGATTGGCGGTTATTATTTCGAAAATATGCAGATTTCCTCACAATGTTTTCCTTCACCGCTGAGCACGTGATAATTCAGCACTTGAAATTAACAACTTATTAATTAACGAAACCGGGAATCGAACTCAGGTTGCTCGAATACCTTTAATTGGTACAAAATGATAAAAAATGTGTTCTGTTATTGGCCTACGTACCAGTGGACCAAAACAGGCTGAAGTGATCACGATGTTCAGTTCAACCGTCATCAACCTATTTTTATCACAATATGACTAGTTCCATGAGTAAAGAGATAAAACTTGGCGACCCGAATGGCATAGTAGGTAGTGTACCTGCCTCCTGCGCCAGAGGGTGTGGGTTCGATCCCCACTACTGGAACAATATGTGAACATGGTGTTTTTCCAGTGTCTGGATGTTTATATATGTATAATATGTATTTATTTACACAAGAAAAGTATATCTAAGTATGTTTATCAGTTTTCTAGTACCCATAGTAAAAGCTTTGCTTGGTTTGGGACTGGAAAATGTCGTGTAAAAATGTGTCCTAAAAATATTTATTATTATTAAAAACTGTTCTATTGTGGAGCTGGGTCGTTCAGAAATGTACGCCAACAGTTTCGTACTAAAACCTTATTCAACGAAAGTTTATGGAATTCTTTAGTAACTTCATCAAGAGATACAAATAAATTCGAACAGTACAAGTTGAAATGTTGCCTAAATTTATAAAGCCATCCACTGAATATTAACATGACAGCGGCGTATCAAGAACATAGAGCAGAAAAATGGTTCGGTCGTGTATCAATTTCATATTCGTGCTTCAACCATTAATATCAATCTGCAATATGGCACATGACAACGCGTATTATTCTTTTACTGAGTTTCGTGGCGTCATGGTGACACTTTATACGAAAAACAATTGTAGAATTTAATAGTATCGAAGGATTATCGATAGGAATTTAGTAGAATCTTAACTAAATTCATAAATTAACTATCTGATAACAAATTTAAAAATCAATATGAAAGTGGAAAAGAGCCAATGTAGAAGAAAGGTGATAAAGGGAGATATTTTGGTGTGACCTTGACCTAGAAGAAATTTCAATAAACATTTGAAGATATAATTATGTAAACTAGCTAACAGAATTTGGGCATACGCTAGATAGATATTATGGTAGAGGAATTCGTTAAACATGTAAATTTAAATTAATGATAGTTGCTGAATGTACTGAAATATTAAAAAGTAAGACTATAGAAAACTGAAAGATGTACAACTAATAAAGTAAACGGGATATAAAATAAAGTGAAAATGTATCAAATAACACTACATAGATTCTCTATTATAGACGATTATAGTATGAGAGTTGATTTAGAAGGTTACCAGTATATGTGTATGGACGATTAATAGTATGAGAGTTAAATTAGAAAGTTAATAGTAAAAGAGTATAGATGTTTAATAGTATGGAAGTTAAATTATTTAGGTTGCCTATAAAAACTCTGAATAGGTGAGAGGTCGTTAACGTGATTTGTTATTTCCGTGATCTTAGTTATGATTATTTTTCTACCTCCAAGAAAATATTGTGTGCAGAGATTTTTTTTACTTTATAAATTTTATTTTAAAAATAAATTCCTATTGGATAATTTTAGACTACATATATATATATATATATAAAACAGTTAAGATTGCTTTAAAAAAAGTAATAAAACGAGAGAAAGGAATAACGAATAAAAATGTCCCGAGAACTCCCATATCAGGGAAAAAAAACAAAACAAAGAAAAATCCCAGGAAAGAAAAATGCTGTGTCCGAGAGTAAAGATTACAAATGATTAGTTCACATCATGGTGATCATCGTCCATAGACAACAGCAAAGGGGTTTCAGCCACTATACTGGCCGGTAATTAATAATCTAACGGCTGGTGGTATGAATGTCAGTCTACTTTACCCACCGTACAGCGCATCCCTGACTCCGTTGATGAAGTCCAGTGTCTCCAAGATACTCGGCCTGGACAGAGCCTTGCTCTTCCTCAGTGTGGAGCTGGCGGAGCGCGGGCGCCTCTTCATCTCCTTGATGCTCTCCACCGGCTCCGTGTACACCAAACTCTTCAAGGTGTGGTACTTCCGCCTGAGCGTCTTCGCGTCCGACCGATCGGTGATGGAGATCTCTGGGAACCCGTACGAAGAGGCGGATCTGTCTGCGCGCGACCTCCTCACCCTCGATGCCGAGTCGAGGGTGGACGCGTCTTGGGCGCCAGCCGGAATGATGTCCGGCTTGGCGCTGCTCCTCCAGAAGTGTCCGGACTTCACGCTGTTCAGAATCTCCTCTGAGCTCTCGTGTCGTTTTATGTGTCGAGGCCTTGAGCTGCGTTGGAAATGAAGTATCTGCTACGATCTTACTTAGATATTCATAGAAACAAATTCTATAGGTATAAACGTAATATTAATAAAATTTAACCAAGGCGTAGTGGATAGTGAAACCAGAGGGTGGGTTCGATCCCCACAACTGGAAAAAAATTGTGTGAATGAAATAGCGTTTTTCTGGATTCTGGTTTTGACTATATATACATTATTTATTTATTTAAAAAACAGAAACATGTTTAAGTGTTTTTGTCAGTTACCTAGCACCCATAGTACAAGATTTGTTGATTTGGGACTAGATAACGTTGTGAAATAATATGTCCCGAAAATATTTATTTCTGAAATATTTATTTAAAATATTTAATTCAACATTACGCCGTACAAGTTCGTGTCAATGTCAATTCACGTGTTTATAAATCCAGACCAGTCGAAAGGATAACCGACAAGAAACTCTACCAGTCAAATAGACTTTCTCGGTGAATATTGTAATTTTATAGAAAAATTAAAATTTGTACAATGAAATATATTTAACCTGTAAATCAATTTCTGTATGAATTTTATATTATCCGATATTTAAAGAAAATTGGTGCTCTTACAAAAAAAGGAATAGATTAAATTTTAATAAACAGGCACCGACATCTTGCTCGTAATTCACAAATTGGACGCTTCCAAGCGATGACAAGGAATTTCACGCGACGGGGGGAGGGTACACGAAAATCATTTTTCCAGTCGCCACCTCACATCCGCCGCGCCATTTTCCAATCATAAATAGTAATTTATTTATTATAATCTGCAGCCGCCGGAGAATGGATTCGCAGGCGGAATTATTCATGAGGCAAGCGATGGGTACGCCAGCCGTTAGGGCGTAGACACACAGCTGAAACGACCGTGCCTCTAACTCGTCATCAAATAGTTACTTATCAGATTCAGTACTAAGTACTTCGGTGTTGTACTTAATTATATGGATTTACGTTTCATACAATAGTTTCGGGCCTAAACAATTTCGACTTTGTAAAGTTTGTTCTGATTGCAGACTTTAATTAAAGTGGGCCCCGGCTACAACACACACCAGACGAATTTCAGCAGTGTAACACTTGTACTTTACGCCGGGCATCAGTGAGGTCGTGGTGATTACCCGGACCTGCCCATTCGTGCAACAGCGAACACTGTGTGGCCCTACCACAGTAGGTAGCAACTGAAACGCAAGCAGTCGATGGACGAGGCTGTCACCGCTCCTAAGTACGTACTCACCCCCGGTCGGCGAGCAGGGCGTGGTGGAAGGCGCCCACCACGCACCTGGTGGCCAGCCGCAGCTTGGCGTCGGCCTTGTCGCGGCCGCTGAGCGCGAGCCGCCTGGCCGCCTGGTGGGCGCCGAGCCCGACGGGGTAGGACACCGCCAGGCCCTCCCCCGTCGGGAACACCAGGCGGAACTCTGGACACCGGGTGGTAGTGTTGTGTGAGAAGGTGACGAGCGAGCCTATTCTTCATCAAATACTTATCAGATTCAGTACTAAGTACTTCCTTGTGATATATAATTATATGGATGTATGTTTCATAAAATAGTTACGGGCCTCAGACATTTTGACTTGCTAAGTTTCTTCTGATTCAAGACCCATAAAATATTTTCCGTGGGCAAAGTTGTTGTTGTTAACGGCGATTATCACTCAACCGATGTTGAGTGATAATCGCCGCCCATGGACATTTGCAACACCCGTAGGGTTGCAGATGCGTTGCCACCTTTTAATATAAAGCTGCCTCAATCACGCAACGCAGATGTATAATGCTTCTTCTTCACGCCGATCTTCTGTGAGGTAGTGGTACTAACCCGAAAAAACCTGCCCATTCGTGCAACAGCTGAAGCTGTTGCGTAACCCTACCACAGTTGCCTCAAGGCGAATAAATTATTAATTGTACGGAGGTAAGCGATTGATGACTCCGTGGCACTGACGAGATATTGGCTTCGTCGCTAGGTGTTGTGGGTTCGATTCCCACACGATACAACTATTTGTGCGGCTTACGGATGATTGTGTCGGATTTTGGCGTTTGTCCACGTGAAATTTGTCTCAGTGATCTCTACAGTGAGGGCAACTTTTTTTAATAAAATATAAAACTGAAGCAACAGTGTTATTGTTTACGTTCGTTCTGTTACGATTTTAATACAACTGCATTTGGAATTGCATCGCACTTTTTTTTTTCATAAGCCCGACATTTAGGAAGCTCCCTTCCACGGTTGCAGGTACGCCGGGAAAGAGACGCCATAGATACTGAACTGGTTCACTCAAACTCGCGCAAATATAAGACACACACAAAAGTAACAGCCTGTACAAGTCCCAATACTGGGTAAAGGCCACCTCTCTAGGATATCAGGACATTGTCCACCACGCGACCCCACTGCGATTGGCAGACTTCATTTATCTTCGAAACATTTTCATTGCTATCGTTTCGAATTTGCCCCTGATAAGTTTATATTTTTAAAAAGGATCTACTGTTTGAAACTTAAACTCTAACTAAAACTCCGTAACTTCTCCCTCTCGTAAGCTATTTAATTCCGAAAGCCGAGTAGCCATCACAGAGTTTAGATACGATCGTCCGTTGGAAACTTGTTAGGATCCAAAGACTTGGCACCGTAGAAGTGACACTTCGGGATGGAACTATGCAAGAAGCGCAGAAAATATTCATTAGATCCTTTTTTGTTATTGTATATGTATATATGCGTCCAACGTTGGGAATACTTTGATAATTTTTATTTTAATGATAATTAAAAAAAAAAAACGTTGATAATTTGAACTATCTATACAAATTCTGTCACGCCTACTATCAAATCCCCAATACTGAGGAAAATTACTGGCACTTAAAATCGGCCATTTAAGACACAGTTAATGTTGAGTATTTAACTTTTTTACCTATATATTTTTTGTATGACAAACTATCTTAAAACGCTTACACGATACTGTGTTAGGGCCACGCAAGCTTTTGCTTTCTGCTGTTGCAAGAATGGGCAGGCTCGTCCGGGGAAGGACCACGACCCCACAGAGCACCGGCGTGAAGTGGAAGTAAACTTTCGCGTTTCATCTAGTGAGTGAGGTAACTGTTGCGCACTTCTTTAAAGGTTGCGAATACCTCTGTAAGCCATCAGTTGTTGTAGGTATCCATGGTCGGTGGCAGGCACTTAACATTAGGAACCAAACTTAACGAACCTTACGATGACTCCTGGCGCATTTGCCAAGGAATTGGCTACGGCGTCGGGAGTCGTGGGTTCGATTCCCACACGGGACAACTATTTGTGCGACCCACAGATAGTTGTTTCGAATCTGGGTGTTTGTCCATGTGGAATTTATGTTTGTAAAGCGTCCTTACAACACAGGATAATGTTATCCTAAAGTGAGGGCAGTGTTTTTTACAAAAAAAAAACCGCCTGCTCGCTTGACAACTTATCACAAATAAAAATAAAAATTAGCGAAATACAACACTCGACTAAAAAAATGACGTATGTAGTAACGTGTCAATCTACGGTTCCTGAACAGGCATTGCTGACCATTAGGCCTTGATCCCGCCAGCGGAATGGGCCGACTTCTCCGTGAGCTCTAGCTAAACTGGCCGATTAAGTCAACGTCACCGCCAGGGCCGTGTTGAAATTTCGATCCTCTCAGATTCGATTCGGGCTTGGCGCAGTAAAGTTCGTCAAACGCAAGTTAGTTTTGCACATTTGGCGTATTTTTTGTGTTGCGCCAGTGGGAAGCATTAATTTTTATAGCACAAATTCGACTGCTATAATTTGGTGCTTTTTAGAGTTCCGTATCCAAAGGGTAAAACGGAACCCTATTTTTACAGATGATGTATTTGTGTTGCCGCTGTAACAACAAATACTTTCAATTTCGATGACTACGTGGCGCAGTCGCCAAAGTCCGTGGGGTCGTAGGTTCGATTCCCACACGGGACAACTATTTGTGTACCCCACAGATAGATGTTCCGCATCTGGGTGTTTGCCCGCGTGAAAATGTTTGTATAAATGTACTTACAACACAGGATAATGTTATCCCAAAGTAAGGGCAATGTTAAAAAAACTGAATAGATAAATATTTAAGTGAGGCTCCTATACAACAGACGTGTTTTTTTGCCGTTTTTGGTTCGTTCAAGTAAGGGACGAGATGAAACTTCAGAACGTCACGTGAGGAAATATCAATGGAATTACGTATAACTGAATTGAGGCTCGCATATTTTCTAATTGTAGCCCATATTATACAGTTTCAAGTGTGTCTTAGTAACCCCAAGTGTATGACACAGATGAGAGAGAAGATAAGTTAAATGAAAGATACTATGCGTTTTAATTTAAGATAGTAAAATTGTACGGAGAGAAAGATCTACGCCGGGAAACCGTTCTACTCATCGACTAATTGTAATACCAATAGCAAAGTAAAGATAATCAACCCTCAAACACATCAAATGCACCCAGTGGCGAATTTGCCCTAAGGCCCAATAGGCCTAGGGCGGCCACATATTAAGGGCGGCTAATCGTGACAAAAAAATTCACTGATGATAACAAGATATATGACGGGCTTTGAGGAAGGGGCGGCTGAAACTTACTACATGGGCTGGGGTCAATGGCGGCCAAGATTGCAGCGAAGAATATCCAAAAAGACAGTCAAAACACATTGTACACATAATATAGACGCGACCATTATAATATAGAAATACTAGCTGCTGCCCGCGACTACGTCTGCGTAGAGGGGTGAAAATTTAGGGTTGTATGTATTTTTGTATGCTGTGTCATAAAAAAATAAAAACAAAAAATTTTGCCCTTAACATTTAGGGGGATGAAAAATAGATGTTGGCCGATTCTCCACCCTGGCCGACAATCACGCTAAGGATCACAAAAATCGGTCGAGCCGTTTCGGAGGAGTTCAAGTTCGAACCCCGTGACACGAGAATTTAATATATTAGAAGACAAGTTGATCAGAGTCCCACTCACCGACATGCCGGAACCTGTCCACGAAGTCGACCATTGCCTTCGCCCAGGCCAGCTTCTTGGCGGCCTCCAGCAGGCCCAGGCACGGCTCCACATCGCCCCTGTGCACCGCCGCGCAGTACACCCCCAGACCCTGGTACTCCGCCACGCACCGGCGGCCCTCGAACTCCTCGAGGAACCAGCAGTTCTCCAGCGAGGCGAGGAACATCGCGTCCAGGTAGGGACCGAGGACCGGGCCTAGGTGCTTCTTATCCTCCTTCGCCGCCCGCCCCAGCCAGCGGAGGACGTTCCTCATCAGCTCCACGCCGTCGGCCAAGTCCCGCTCCCGAAGCTCGGGGTCCCGCCGCGCCGCGTCTATCAGACAGGCCGAGGAGGCGTCGTAGTAGTCCCTCAGTCTCTTCCACTTCTTCGACCTAAGTGGATTATGCGAAAAGAATATTATCTATAAAAGAAAAAAAATTAACAGCCTCGAGTGTATTGAATTAAAAGCGAGCGCTCGGGCAGCGAGCTATCACGCTATTATTAATACCATTGAAATGGATAATCTAAAGATCGTCGATATATGAGTAATAATATTTTCACTTATTAAAATACTTAGTGAAATGATGTCTCAAATAACGTTAAACTTCAGTTCTCGAGAAAATCATGACGTACACGACACACAGAGTAAAAAGTCCAGCATTACCTGTACATCGCCAGGTCAAGGTCGAACTGACCGCCTGGAGCACCCTGCGGGGCCTCCAAGTGCAGCTCCCTCGCCTGGTCCAGGGCTACTGCCATCACGTGCACCAATCGCTCAACCCCATCCTGTGCCCACGCCGCCCCAGCTTTCTGCTCCTCCTAACACGCTTGCTTACTCGTCATCGTCATCAGCTTAGCATATAATTTGACTGGTTTGAGATTTAAACGTAAAGGGGTAACGACACTGTAATGTTGTGCTCTTCGCGCAGTTGAACAGTTCGGTTGTGAATTAATAAAACTATTATAATATTTTCGTTTTGAAAATCGCGACATGAGAAAAGAAAATTTAAATGAATCATAAATTTAAGAAGAGCAAATGCGACATTTCTCGTTACTAACATTCATCGTAAAATTTCATTTGTAAGGTGTTTCATACTGTAAAGTATGCACACTAGATGGCGCAAAGCATCAATATAAATATAAAAATGATATGGTGTCGCGGGACACCAGATAGGAACGAAGTTCCTTCGGCTAATGTAGAATCGACACAAATTGCAAAAACAATCGTGCTCAACTTTATGTAGGTTTTCTTGATTTTTTCTCTTGAATTCTGCTGATTAGTTTTTATTTAAGTACAAGAAAGTATTTAGGAAATTCAGTATTTTAGGAAATAATAAATTACTTAAAATAAAATTCCACGCACTTTTTCTTACGGTTTTACTATCACATTTTTTTCAGTTAGATCGCGCAGCAAAATCCCTATCCCCTCCAAGCCTGCCGTAAGGAACTTCGTTCCAAAAGAAAAGTGGAAAAATGTCTATATTTTCGCACCGTGAGGTTACCGGAATCAAACGAGTAATTTAGAAGACCCTGGTTCAAATCCAAGTTAAAAAGAAAGTTTTAATCCAACTATCTAAAAAAATTCCATTATCTGCTGTGTAATCACGATAAATCTACACTTTACATCAATAATTCATCGCAAAATTTTACCAGGGCTGAAGTCTACTCTCTCGAATGCAAGTTAAAAAGAAATTTTTAAAGCAATTATCTAAAAAAATCCATTATAATCACGATAAATCTACTTTACATCAGACAATTTATCGCAAAATTTTACCAGGACCGAAGTCTACTTTCTCAAATCCAAGTTAAGAAAAAAGTTTTATTCCAATTATCTAAAAAAATCCATTATAATCTGATATATCTACACTTTACATCAGACAAGTCATCGCAAAATTTTATTTTTTAGACTGAAATCTACTCTCGATACGTTGTAAAGTTCTTGATGACTCCCAGGCGCAGTTGTCAGGGTATTGGCTCCGGCGCCGAGGATCGTGGGTTCGATTCCAACGGGACAAGTATTTGTGCGACCCACAGATAATTGTTTGTCCACATGAAATTTATGTTCGTGAACCTTACAACACAGGACAATGTTGCAGTACGAGCTACAAAAAAACGTACTCACATCCACCGTCATGTTCTTGCAGCTCATCAGCTCGTTGGCCACGCGGCCGAGGTAGCGCAGCTGCCGGCCGCTGTAGTTGTGCGGCGCGAGTGCCCTCGCCTCCCTGTTCAGGCTCTCCCAGCGGTGGAACAGAGCCGTCTCCAGCAGCTCCGAGGGTGCACGGGGGATTTCGTCGCCCCCTGGAACGGGAATTATTCCCCAATGAGGGGAAATAGCACCCATCTTTTAGGAGGAGCCCAAAATCAACTCGCTCGATAAACTTTTTTAAATTTATGTACAGCTCATATTTCTACACCCTCTATCGGATAGTGCTGATATAACAGTAGATGCGCCAAGCATTGCTTGAATTGCGAAAAAAATTAATTAGATAAAAGACTGTCAGATTTTCGTCCGTGTGGGAATCAGCCGTTAAGCTTAGTGGTTAAAGTGTCTGGGCGCGAATCCAGAAGAGGTGAGTTCGATTCCCACAGCGGCGACAATCATTTCATACTTTTCCTACAAGTTTTAATGCTTAATCTTAAGTGCAGAGATCATCACTATAAAAAAAACTTTAAACTCATTGATAATTTGTATTTTGTCTACGATTTTATAATGTTTACGATTCTCGCAGAGGCGAAAAACTTTTCGTCCATTTTTATACAAATTACAACGCTTCAATAATCAGATTGATAACATTTGCAGATCTTCATGCGTGTTTGACTTTATGTTCAGGAATTGTAAGTTGAAATAAAAAAAAAATAGTATCCTAGTTATTTTTTTTTTTTTTTTTTATGCGAAAAGTTGTCAAACGAGCAGACGGTTCACCTGATGTTAAGTGAATACCGCCGCCCATGGACATCTGCTACACTCGAGGGTTACAGATGCGTTGACAACCTTTTGAAAATTGGTTAAAAGTAAACTGGACTATGGCACGGTAACCTGGAACCCCTGCTACCGATATCCAAATGAACTAAAATCGAATAGAAACTGTCAAAAAATCACACAATTCTTTTTTGGATCCAAAAATAGATCCCTCCAGTAACGAATCAAAACATTTAAGTTTGCTCCTTGACAGAGGTAAGCTCTTTGTAAACTTATTTACGAGACTTTAAATGTATTCAATTTTGTTATGCGCGTTCTTATTGCTGGATATACAGCGTGTCTTTACCATCGCGACAATAAATGAACACACATATAGAGGATAACTTTTTAAAACTGTATTAAAGATTTACATTCTTTAAACATCAATATTTAACGTGTTATCAAATTTTCCAAAACAAAGAATTTTAGGACATCCTTACGTATAAAACTTTAATGTAAAGTTCATTTGTAAAGGTCACAAAGCATATGAATGGGTTGAATGTATTTAAAAGAGACAAAACATACAGTTAGAAGGAGAGCTTGTAATGCGGCGCTGTGGCAACGAATGAAAAAGTCTTTGAATGTATGAGTCAGTCAGATGTATGTATGTATAGGATGTTACAAATTTTGTTTCTTTTTTACTTAATTAGTTTGTTTGAAAAATGTTTTTTTTAATTATGGATTTTTTTAACATTAATATTTTTTATGATTATTGGCAAATAGCGTTAGACATGTGTTCATTTTTTGTCGCGGTGGTAAAGTCACGCTGTATTAAATAACAGAGTCCGAATTACGAATACAGCTAATAAACGCCGTTCTTAATTTAACTACTACTAAATGATACTATCATGTATGGGGTCTTAGTTTAAAAGGATGCTCATGACTTTATCAGCCTGTATATTACATTCACACTTGAGGATCCTCTTGAACTCAAATATCCTATATTATTTGCTAAGCCTGACCGACTTGACGGAATGACATCATGCAAGCGACTGTCGCGCCCCTCAACAAGCGGGTGTCGTGCTAAACACTGCAACGAGGCCATGGCCTGCCACCCACCAGCTGGGCAGCGCTGTTGCAGGCTCAGCAGGCAGCGGCGGAGGCAGGCGGCGTCGGAGCCCCAGTCGGCGGCCGCAGCGCCCCTCCGCGCCACGCACTCGCGCCCCGCCGGGAACACTAGCCCCGCCGCCCCGCCCCTCTCGCACACGCGCACCAACCTACGCCCATTGCAGCTTGGCAGGTGCCAATGTCGCACTCAGCGGCTCACCTAGCCTTGGTCAAGTCGAAGTCTCCTTCGGCGCCAATTAATTTGAAAACCGATTCACTCTGTCGGCATTGTATATGCCTTCATGTATTCTACTAGGTTGCCTTAACTTTACTTTCGCTCTGGAAAATTACTTTAAAACCAGTGTATCGACAAGCCTCGGTCTCGAAGTGGTCTTCACTTCTGCTTGTGACAATTAATTTGAAACTGATTCACTCCTATTGTCTATGTGTCCCAAATTCAACGATAAAAATACACCACAAGGTGGAACTGCTCATGACTACTCCAGAAAAAATTTAGAAAAAAAAAACCTTTTTTGAAATTACAAAAAAAATATGAAAGTTTATGAAAATCAACACCCATAATGGTATTTGTTACTATTGTGATCACAATTTTTCAAATATTTCCGATCTTTTGTTTGTAACAGCAAACTACATCACTCCTTTCTATCGCAATTCTTAAAAGTATCAGACTACGTTCAGTTTTTACATAAAAAATCATCAAAATTGATGTTTTCCCTAAAGTTTTGCATGATTTCAACTTTCAGTCCACTTTCACTCATCGTGGTGTAAAAAAAAGGCAATTTAAATAATTTAAAAAGGTTTTTTAAAAAAATTCTACAACTATTCAATATTCTAAAATAATATAAGTAATACTAATTTAGGAAAACTAGCCACAAACAAATGATGAAGTAGTCTAAAGCAGAAACAAAACTGCAGGAAGAACGTCTATAAACCGGGGAAGAAGGGTCTCACGAGTGAAGAATGTTGTTTTGAGGATGATGATGAGACGATGAAGTACACTAAAGCAGAAACAAAACTGCAAGAAGAACGTCGGTAAAGCGGGAAAGAGGGTCTCATGAGTGGAGAATGTTATGTTTTAATTAAGTATATCGTAAGACGATGTAACGGAGAAATGTACTCACGAGTCCAGGATGAGGAGGAGATGGTGAGCGGCGAAGGCGGCTCGCAGGGCTGCCGGCCGGGCGACGGTCACCAGCCGCCGTTGCAGCTGGCACCAAACCACGTACCGGCTTAGCAGCAGCGGACAGCCCTGGACAACCGCACTCTGCTACTGCCACCGTACTTTAGTTTAACGTAAGAAAAGTCATAGTAATAAGAGGACTTAACTCACGTTAAAACGGTGTACGCACCGACTGGTTTCGGACTCTATGATCTTAAATGGAGATTAAAAATGACTGGTTTAAGCTATTTGCGGCATTTTCTATTCTTTACTTACACTAATTACTTATAATAATACTAGCGACCCGCCCCGGCTTCGCGCGGGTGCAGTGAAATATACATATAAACCTTCCTCTTGAATCACTCTATCTAGTAAAAAAACCGCATCAAGATCCGTTGCGTAGTTTTAAAGCATACATAGGGACAGACAGACAGCGGGAGCGACTTTATTTTATACTATGTACTGATGAAGATATATAACTGAAACAGACCTGATATACGCCATCGCGCATATTGTCGATGAGGGAGTTGAGGGCGCCTGCCACCCGTGCCACGGCGGACTGATCGGAGAAGTGGGTGTCCAAGGTGGCTTCGAGCGAGGGCTGCCACAGCTGCCACAGGACGCCTCGTTCGCCGGACGTGGTAGGGGATGGGGGCCCTATCGCCACGGCGTAGTAGCCCTTTAAAGACAAATGGGATGGTACTGTAATGTTTTGTTAAAGATAATATTTCCGCCTGTCGTAACTAAACCAAAGATTATCTTTATGGTTTTGATTTCCACTGATCATTGCTTGTATATAAGACGTGTTTCGTTATTGGAAATTAACATCACCAGATAAAAACCAACATGGCGCATGCTAATGTTCGTGCTAACTCGTTGTCAGCTTCTTGATATGAAGATTATTGTTTAGAGGGAAGAAAAAGAGGGGATTAATTTTGTTATTGAATACTATTTGTAAATGGGGGTTTCGCTAACGGCTACCACTAACTCACCCCCTGGGCGGCGGTGTAGTGCAGCAGGGCCATGGGGTGGGTCATGGGCACCCTGGTGGTGTAGGCGTGGGCGCTGCAGCCCCCCACCCTGGCGCCCAGCACCAGCTTCGCCTCCGCCTCGCCCGCCCCCACGCGCACCATCACCCACGCCGCCCCCTCCACTATGGCCAAGCGACGCTCGGGGCTCGACTGTTGGGAGGCTGTGAGGCACCACCACCATTTTTAGAGTTCCGTACCCAAAGGGAAACACGGGACCCTAAGACTCAAAAGAAAAAAACCGGTCAAGTGCGAGTCGCACTCGCGCACAAAGGCCTCCATGCTACAGTCATCACCAAAATCAATCAATCAAAAAATCGTGGGTGAGAGCAAATGAGAGCACTACTTATATATTTTTTTAATCCATATTCCGCCCCAACCGACTAGCTAACGACTAGACTAAATCACTGTGCAATCCGAAGACTGAATATCAAATCGCCTCAGTGCATAAGGACGCGGCGCGGGGCCAAGTTTACAACTTACATAATAAAATGTCGCTAGAGCACTAACTTCGGCCGCCGCATCTGAATCTTGTTAGAATATTGTTTCCGCTATGGATATTGGAGTTTGAGTTACCAGCGTCGTTTCCTATCCTTTGTCATGACAATGTAAGGCTGACATTGTCTTCTGATTTTATCCCAATTGTAATGGAAACCGTGCAATCTTCTGATTGGTTTATTTTCTGGGATTTTTTTTAATAATTACCACATTAAAACATGTAGAAAAAGTACGAAAAGATTGTCGCCGCTGTGGGAATCGAACCCACGTCTTCAGCATTCGCGGCCTGACGCCCTAACCACTGAGCTAAACGGCTGATAGCCAGAGGGACGAAAATCTTAACGCCTTCTTTCTACATTATTATTTAGCATTTGAAGCAATGCTTGGCGCATCTATTGTTATATCCTTCCCAGCATACAAACAATTTCGAATATCGTTTTACAACGATAATTCGAACGAGATATGTCGCCATTGCTTTTTATAAATTTTAAAGTTTTTTTTATAGTGCTAATATAATATTTTTCTACATGTTTTAATGTTCAATCTTAAGTGCAGAGATTAGCACTATAAAAAACTTTAAAATTTAATTACCACATTACCTACTTCGTTAAAAGGTGGTAACGCATCTGTATCGGTTAATATATCTACGGGTGATAATGTTATCTACGGGTTAAATGAAACTACTTTACGGATTTTATCGCGTTTTTTATTTTAATTTTAAATTCCCGACGTTTCGGACCCTTTCCAGCGTTCATGGTCACGGGACAGACTGTCGATTTAATATGTATAATATTCGCGTAAAATCAAGAAAACAATATTATCTACGGGTGTTACAAATGTCAATGGGCGGCGGTTACCGCTTAGCATCAGGTGAACCGCCAGTTCATTTGCTACCTTCGCACATAAAATAGTACAACACGAATAATAATAACGTTATAGGTACAATATATATTGATTTTTAATAATACTATAGATATAGGCGGAAAGAGACAGAAAGCGATCCAGACTTTGTGGTGAACAAGAGTCACACCATAAGACTGATCGAATACATTATCTAGAGCAAAGAACGTCCCGCAATTAAACCTCGACCGACTACATTACCGCGTCCCAAAGGGCACCGTACACCTCAACCTGCAGTAAGCGCGCAATGTACTCGCCGCGAGCGCTCCTCGCCTTACCGCGCTGCAGGTAGCAGTAGCGCAGCGGGCGCGCCCTCGCCGCCGCCCTTGCGCACTGCACCCGCGACCCGCCCCCGCCGCGCGCGCGCCCGCTCCGCGCCAGCAGCTGCACCCACCGCTCCACCACCTTGTCCCTGCGCCCCCGGAACGTTCATTCGATCGTTCGTTCGATCACTCATTCGATCGCTACCCCCTTGTCCCTGCACCCCCTAACCTTTCATTCAAATATCGAACGACCATACATTCAGCTACTATCCCCTGGTCCCTGTGCCCCCAAATCGTTCAATCGTTAGTTCACTCATTCAGTCGCTACCGCTTTCTTTGTATCTGGACCCCGCAAACCATTATTCAATCACCCAAATCATTCTTTCAATCATTCGTTCAAACACTCATTCAGTCACTACCACCTTGTACCTGCGTACCCAAACCATTCATTTAAATATCATAAGACCATACATTCAGTCACTACCACCTTGTACCTGCGTACCCAAACCATTCATTCAAATATCATAAGACCATACATTCAGTCACTACCACCTCGTCACTGCGCACTCAAATCATTCATTCAAATATCGTACAACTATACATTCAGCCACTACCACCTTTTGACTGCCCCCCAAACCATTCATTCAATCATTCGTTCGATCACTCAGTCATTACCATCTTTTCAATGCACTCCCACACGGTTCGAGACAAATTTATAATTATACCATCCAAATGTGGCGATAAATAACCTGCAGAGGTAACCAGCCGGCGTCAAGAACTCAGCCCATTTGTCGGCCTCCCGCCCAGTCAGTCTGACCTTCCCGTAGCCTAGGGGCCCGTTCTGCAGACGGCACTCCTCGCTCTCACCATTCAGGGTCGGCAGAGAGTCCAGTGTCACGATGTACTCTAGTGAGCGGGAGCGCATCTGAAAGAAATTGTATTATCATCACAGCATCGCCCGCGCAACGTCCTCATCGACCCGGTCGAGGATGGGGACTTAAGTACGTCGAACCCACCGTAGGGGTCCCGTCACACTCAGTTACCATCAAAAAACACCATAGTTCGTCCTCGCCTTCGACTAGCGCGAAACCAACACAACGAGTACACTAGGCACACTCGCGTTCCAGGGCGGTTCTCACCGCCCGCAGCCACCGACTAAACAAGCACGGTCAACGGCCATCGGGGTCACGGTCCGCACCGAACCTAGATGGCCCGCAGGCGACATGTCACAACTAACGCACGCATGAGTACATTCGCGGCCCTACCCACTGAGGAGGGTCTCAAACCCGTGGGCTCTAGCTAGCCCACCGGTTCTGCGTTCGATGAAGCTTTAATAGTCTAAGGACTGAAAGCGTAACATCCGTTACACAAAAAAAATATCATCATCAACATTTCACCCTGCTGAACAAAGCCCTACCCACAAACCGCCACGAAGCATGACCCTGAGCCATCTGCATCCATCGACTTTCCACGCACTTGCTCAGGTCATACTTATTAATAGTATTGGTTATCCGAGCTAACGATGCCAATGTGCTAAACCACGCCCTTATAGTAGACCAAAATGAAGTAGAATACTTTTGCGTTTCGTCTCATGAGTGAGGTGGCCGAAAACCACTATTTAATGCTGGCAACGCACCTGTAAACAGTCTGGTAATTAGATGGCCATAGGCGGTAATAATCACACAGCACCCGCAACAGCGCCAAGCATAATCTCTAGTGAGTGGGGTAGCCGGGGCCTAATTTATTAAAAGGTGGCAACCCTGCAAATGTCAGTGGGTTGTGGTTATTACTTAACATCTGGTGAACCGCCAGCTCATTTGCCACTTTCTGACATTAAAACAAAATTGTTTCATTTGGTAATGTTCAATCGTGTAAATATAATAAATATTATCTGTTCACAAACTCGCCTTTTTATGTCTGTGCAACGCGATGAGGTGGCAGCATCTAAAACGCGGGTCCCTCTGCCCTGCCCCGTCCACGATTCGCTGCACAATGTCCTCCACGACACATTCTGTCTCCAATGACATTCGACCTACAAGAAATAAAAACTCGATCGATCGAATATTTACAAGATTAAATCTAATAAAATTACATATTATCTAACAAACGTAATCCACGCGGCATGGTGCCTAGAACGCTAGCTGCATTTCCTCGCTGAATAGTTAACCTTAACCTTTGAGCGAGAAAAGAAGCAGCTATCTTGTCACCAGCCGCGGCGTTAAGCCTAGGACATAAACTTTTAAAAAAATTTTATGTGCGGGGACCCCACGGATCGACTCCAACTCAATTATTCCCGCTGATAGCGGAATAAAACGTGATGGTGAAATTATTACAGAAATTCACTAGCGACACGTTCGAGTACAACGATCGTCAATTTTCATGGTTTTTAGACGGTAATACAGAAAAATAAAAACACGTCAAAATTTCCAATCCCATTTGGAGAAAACTCAGACCTGTTGACTGTACTTATTGCAAGCTTCAAATTATCCTTTTCAGAAATAAGTTTTAAAAACCGGGGCAAAGTGTGAGTGGGGCTCGCGCACGAAGGTTCCGTACCATTATCTATAAAACCTCAAAAAAGAATCATGTCCGCTTTACGCAGCCCCATTTACTTTTTTTAGTATTTATTTGTTGTTATAGCGGCAACAGAAATACATCATCTCTGATAATTTCAACTGTGTAACTATCACGGTTCATGAGATACAGCCTGGTGATAGACCGACCGACAGACAGACAGACAGACAGACAGACACACAGCGGAGTCTTAGTAATAGGATCCCATATTATCCATTCTTGACATTATCTGACGTTTTATTGCGTAATATGCTCCGCTTTAGGCTTCATCATTACGCATTTCGCCATATCCGATAGCTTTAGGTACGGAACCCTAAAAACAAGAAAGGGATAATTTGATGCGATTCTGGGAATTAACCAGTATATACTAGTTACATAATCCAACATTTTATAAAAGAATACACTCATTCATTTAAAATGTTTGGCTTCTTACAAACCACGGAGTATAATCACCACGTTACAACCATTCCTAATCATTCCATATGTAATACTCACCTAGCATCCCTGCAAGTCTCTTTTGGTTTTTTTTTTTTTTTTTTTTTTGTTTTATAGTACTCATACTTTAGGAACTACATGAGCAGAGAGAAACACCTGCTGTCATTGATGTTTACGAATATAAACCGATGAACATTGGTAAGTAAACGAAAAATAATTTAATTTAAGAACGATAAACCATAACGGTAATGAATCGTTTTAAATACAGCTGCTTAAAACAGTTGATAGAATGACTTATTATGACGAAGACATCTTCCATTGTATAGTATACTCTGGCTACGTTAACAACACTGTAATCACGACGTTTGCCGCCACGAAGCGTAGCCATTGTCTGGGCTACATCGCGTGTACATTGTCATGCATATCGCGTAATATATTAATGATTTTCAACGGCTTTTAACCAGTCACGATTAACGACAACGTCTACGTCGTATAGATTCAATCGAGTGGTGAGTATCTTGAAATATAAATTTAACAATAAGATACCTCAGCGATAGGCGACTCGATTGTTGTTCATGGGATGAAGTTGGTATGAATCGTTGGCATGACTGTACTTCGAACAACTTAGATATAAACATTACAGTAAGTTGACTTTGCAAAAGAACTAACATAAAACTTTCCTTAAACTAACGCTTGCACTGTAAGCCAATTGGAAGACGTGTTTGTACTAATGATGACGCAATGAACGACGTCATCATACAAATGATGTCTAGAAGACAAATGGCTCAGCCAACCTTTAAAAGAGCAAACGTCTAATTCAAATGTGAAATCTTTAATCACTATAGAAGCAAATCACTTACTTATTGATTGTCATAATACTACCACCGCTTTGGAAAAGAAAAGCCACTGACCTGAGAAGAACCGGCGAAAGAAACTACGCGGGATTTAAACTCAGGTTGCTCGAGTATAATAAATTAAAGGCGAGCGCCCGGACACTGAGCTATCACGGCAATCGAGTAAGATATTTAACACCACCTTCTCACATAGAAATATATGCACAGAAAAGGATGATACATATTAAAATTTTAATATAATAAAAAACTTAAATGAAAAAAGTAATAGTTTACGTGACACGTTGGCATTGTTTAATTGACACAACACCCGTGGAGTTGCAAATGCATTGCCTACCTTCCTGCGTGCCTATCCGAGAAATACCAGAAGGATAATAGGAAAACTTTAAGGTAACCCCTTAATACGATGATGTCATTACGACGCGAAAGGAACAATAGTTCATACCTGCCTTTTCGTGGTACAACCTGTCGGCTCTGAAGACGCACCTTTTTGATCCTCCTCATGCAGCATCTCCACGTAGGAGTTGAGGGTGCGCAGCTGGTGGACGGTGAAGCGGAGACCGGTCGTAGGCAGACGCAGGTCGGCGCCGGGACTCTCGGCGAGGCCAGACGCCCCAGACCCCATCGCTGAGGGATAAAGAGACGTACAAGGCACATATAACGGTAGCTGAAAATAGTTACTATAATGAGCAATACACATTTAGTGATGAGATAAATTGCCTGTTTTTATTTGACTCCTGGCTTCTGTCATTTTTTGATTTACTTTAAAAACATACAACACCAAAAACTACGAAACGAAACTGCACACAGTGTTGGCTGTTGCACGATGTGCAGGTCAATCCGGGTAATTACCTCGCAGAAAATCGGCGTGAAGCGAAAGTGACGTGAAGTGTGAAACTTCTGCGTTTCGTCTGGTGAGCCGGGGCCCACTTTATTAAAAACTCATCTGCGACCCTAAGGGTGTTGCAAATGTCAATGGGTGCCGATTATCACGTAAAAAAATACGTACTCGTAATTTATCATCCTTTCGGATTGGTCTTATTTGGTTAGTTAGATAGTATGTACCTAGTTTTAAAAAGTGTTTATTAGTTTATAAGAAGTCTGTTATTTTAATAAAGAAATAATGTTTTTGACTTTTGCCTTTCAATCATCATCATCAGCCGCAAGACGTCCACAGTCGAACATAGGCCTCCCCCTTACAACGCTACGCCTTTCAATGGGTTAATTTAGTAATATCCTAACTTATGTTAATTTCTAAAAGTTATAATAGCTTTGGTTGTTAATGCGTTTACGGATAAAAAAATTAAAAACACCGACACCAATGGTTATATTATGGACATAGGACAAACTCTTAGTATGAGAGTTGCGATTCCATTCAGCGACTTGCTTCGACGCTATTAGATACAGATGCGTTGTCAGCACATGGCAAATTTTTTATTATTAAAAATCATGGAGATCGGACCAAATGAAAAATCGATTATCGATAACGATCCCGCCGGCACAATGCGGTGGTGGAGCCGAAACTGCCTGCATTGTCCATCTTCCGGCGGAAGCGCTTTATCTGGCGCCGGTCATGCGCTCAGGTGGCCGTGAGCCGCGGAATTGTTCACGGGGATTGTTGCCATCGTTGTTATGATGCGCACATGGGATGTAAAACATATGCCTAGTTCGGTAAATACAGCTCCGAGTCGACATTGAATCTCTTCTTAGATATCCACTACTATTTATCTATATATCTATAGTCTCGGAATGGTAGTGACGGAATTATAGTAGCCTGTAGGCCGAATTCACACGACGGACTCAGCTCGACAATCCAACGAAGACCAGTTTCGCGTAAAAGATCCTTGATGTTTACTATCCTCTCCATCTTGCACCCAACAAATTCGTCAACGCGTAACGTTTCGCTAATAAACAAGTCAATTTTTTATTAACAAAAAACAATAACCGTCTTCAAATATCTCGATCTTTATTCATTTTATAATTGATTTTCAGGAGTTTCCTACGTATCTCCGGAGCCCAAGATCCGTTACCAATTAAATTAATATACGACCACATGGGAAGCGCCAGCTTTCGAATAAAAAAGAATCATCAAAATCGATTCACCCAGTCTGTGTCTGAGTCTCAAAGTTCTGAGGTAACAAACATAAAAAAAAAATACAGTCGAATTGAGAACCTCCTCCCTTTTTGGAGTCGGTTGAAAAGGGGATTTCTCGCTTAATCACGTTTCGATGTAAAGGCATTAGGCGCGTCACGGGCGAGCGGCGACCTTCCGCCTTCCGCGCTTGTACACATTAAAAAATGACGCGTCATCGAAACCAGCCGCGACTCGGCTAATTGCGGCGATTTGCGGCCACGGAACGTACAATTGAGTGGACCATCGCTCCGTATTATCGTAATCAGTTCTAATTTGTCACTTTGCGGAGTCAGCACGCGAGCAGTAATGGTCCGGCGATGGCCTTGCCGATGAAGTAGCTCTAGGTGATAAAGTCTCTATTTAGAATATTACGTTAGCTGAAAAGATGGCAAGCGCGGCGATTGACCTGTTGTTAACTGGATTCCTTCGGGGATGTAATGCTTGAGAGGGTCCAAATGTGTTGCCAACCTCTCAAAATTGGCTTCCGCTTACCTCACTCACCAGAAGAAAAAAGAAAGTATAGTAATTCCACTCCACGATAGGCTTCGATGAGCTGCTGGGGGAATCGAACCCACGTCTTCGGGATTCGCGCCCTGACGCTTTAGCCACTAAGGTAAACGGCTGATTGCCACACCGACGAAAATCTTACGTCTCATGCTAAAAATCAATGTAGAAATAACATTGATTTTAGCCTTCAACTATAACACTTACATATAAAACACCTTGTATGTAACTAGCTATCCTAAGAAGCCTTTGAAACTTCTCAAGTTAAATCAATTTTTATTTAAAACTTTTGCATCAAGCAACATAGATTTGGTGGATTAAATAGGAATTCATTTTTAATGATCGTTACAAGATACGTGTATTATCTTCTTCAACTAAGAAGTATGACACCGTAATAAACCTATCATAATCCATGAGCTCAATTATGCCAGGCGCGGATGCTCAGAATCTCGGAAGACAATGGACACAATCTCTATAATGCACCAAGATCATATCTCGAGCATAGGTTCAAGAGAAGAGCCTACCGCGAGTGATAATCGCAGTTAGAGCCTCATTAACCTACTTTTCCGAGTGTGCCCGTGTATATTGCACTATTCTAGTAAAGGAAAGAAAAAATATTTTAGTCTGTATTAAATATAATTTTTCTTACTAAAACATATTTAATTATACTAATGTGTGTGATGAAAGAAACTTTAGAAACTGAGATAAAATGTTTAAAGAGGAATAACGTAAACATTGTTGTTACATTGCTTTTCATATTTTTACTATTAAATTTTATATTTTTATCATTATTATTTTTTATTTCGGTTTGATATTCCAATTTCAATACTATGCCGTTTTTTTATTTAGTAAAATAATGTTTCCATTATAAATTAAAAGACGTATTTTGCCAATTCTTTTAACGTTTTCCTTAAACTAGTCAACCACAATAGTAATTTACCAAGTGAAACAGACTAACATATATAAAATAATACTGGCATGAAACAAAACTGCATACGAGCTATTGCAAGTCTATAGTTTTATTAGTAAGAAAAAAATATGAAACAGGAAAATTGATTTTACTAAAAGTGATATTTTACTTGCCAGAGCTCTAGCAATTTTAATTCAAACCAATAAAGTTTGAAGTCATGCACGAAGTTTTACGTGAGTCTACTTTGCTATGTACTCGTTCACAGGTTATGTGGATTTGGAAATTAAGATAATTTTTTTTTAAAGAAAAAACTTTCAAAATAAACCCACGCGTTTTATAGCAAGTTATGAATGCAATCGCGATTATGAAATGGTAAATGGGTGTCATCCAGGCAATTATATAAATAATTATGGCATATATTTTATCCAAGTAATTAAATTCGACTCTTCAATAATAATTTCATTTGATTAACTTCTCTCAAAAAGCTACTTTTGTGACATTTTAAAAATATTTTTTTTTTATTATAACTATATTGTAAATCGGGTAATTGAATGAAAATTCATTATTTTTTCAATACCTGTCTATAATATAATCAAAAAATACCTTAACTTAAAAAAATATGCAGTAATTTTAAAGTCAATACTTTGTTTTTAATGATACATGCTATAACTTACTGTCTAATAAAATAAAATACTGCTAAAATAAAAGTAACTTCCTACCTGCTCACTATAATGGTACTATCCCATTAAAACAATCAACAACAAAATCTAAACACCCCAAAGTCTGTTCGCATTTTATTTTAAACGTCAAATTTGCCGCGCGAATTAACCTTTCTTTTTAAATTCTGACACAAACTACTATACAGCCGGTCCTAGCCGGAGCGCGTGAAACAAGTGTCTGGTTATTTGCTTTTCGTTTAATGGCGCGCGGAATGGAGAACGGAAGCCACCAACATTAAGTCGAATAGTTATTGTGCGATATACTGACGATGACTATTGTGTTCAAATGTCGCTTCATTTGAACTAACTTTATTCCTCCTAAATTAGTGTAAAACAGTTCTAATAATATATATACTGTTCTATACAAATACTGTTCCAATGATGACGCAGATACTAAAAAAAACTTTGAAAAGATTTACACTGATTCCATTAACATCAGATTAAATGACGCCTTAGGGAAATAAGGCATTACGTATCGTATTTCCCTAAGGCGAAATTAAGGTGGGCACAGGTTGAAACAGGAGGAATTATAATCTCCATAAAGAATATTTAAGAATAAAAAGAGTAAGATAAAAATAAAGAACTTTTGAACTGAAAGTATTTTTACCGATTTTATTGCGTTTAAATTTAATTAAAATTTTATCCACCGACGAAATAATACCTTAAACTCATAATATCCACACGTAATAACTTAGTGAACTTTTCAGCAAATTCTTTTAAATAACAGTTTCGTTTAATCGTTACAAAGATTAAATTAATTAGGTTAGTTAATTTAATAGCTGTATAGAAAATGGAGACGCGATTTATAGGGAAAATGAAATAAAAAATATGTATATTGATAACGAAATTTAAAATTTAACCATTTATTTATAGAACAGAATAAGGTGCTGAAGCAGGTACCGTGGATGTGCATTTAGCGATTGGATATAAATAATTTATTCATTAATTATTGAAACTCAGTTCTTAATAAATAAAATTGTAACAACTAATATATAATCATGATTACCATCAAAGTTATTTTCTTTTATCTTATTTCGTTTTTTTAAAAAGGTGGCAAGTGAGCTAGCTGTTCACCTGATGTTAAGTGAGAAGCGCCACCCATTGATATTTGCAACACCCGTAAGATGTCAGCTACGTTGCTACCTTTTAAAAAAGTGGGGCCAGGCCACCGCACTCGCCAGACGAAACACAAATGTGTAACACTTGCACTTGACGCCGGTCTTCTGTGAGGTCGTGGTACTTACCCGGACGGACCTGCCCAGTCGTACAGCAGTGAAGACTGCGAGAACCTACCACGGTTAACGCACAAAAAATAAAAGTTTAATAAAATAAGTGTAACAAAAAAGTGTTTTAACTAA